GTCACTGTGAGGAAAAGGAGATGGAGGTGTGTTTTTGGGGAGGGTCACTGTGTGCAAAGGGGCTTGGGGGGGCTCTGTGAAGGAAAGGGATAGGGAGAGGTGTTTTGTGGAGATCCCTGGGAGGATGGGCTGTGAGGGGGACTGCTGGCCTGCTGTGGTGGGACCCCGCGGGGGTGCAGAGAGGGGCTGGAGCCCCTGGGGAGGAGGGAGAAGGCTCTGGGAGGGTCTCCCCAGCCCCCTACTCCGAGCAGGGACAGGTCAGGTCACCGGGGACACCGAAGCCCCTGGGCAGCAGGACAGGGGAGACCCAGCCCTGGGGTGCCCTGGCAGAGGATTTGGGGTGAGGGGTGTCCGTGTGCCCCCCCACAGACATCAAGGAGCACGTGAAGCAGCTGGAGAAGGCGGTGTCGGGGAAGGAGCCGCGCTACGTCCTGCGGGCCCTGCGGGCTCTGCCCTCCACCTCCCGCCGCCTCAACCCCAACGTGCTGCACAAGGCCATCCACGGCTTCTTCACCTCCAACTGCACCCTCAGGGACTTCCTGCTCGGGTTCCTGGAGGAGGTACGGGCAGGGACGGGAGGGGACACGTGCCCCCAGTGCTGCCCCCAGCTCGGGGGTCCCAGCACGGGAAGGATGGGGAGCTGTTGGAGTGAGGAGGCACCAAGATGATCAGAGGGATGGGGCACCTCTGCTCTGAGGAAAGACCGAGAGAACTGGGATAATTCAGCTTGGAGAAGACAAGGTTTAGGGATGACTTAACTGTGGCCTCCCAGTACCTGAAGGAGCCGACAGGAAAGATGGGGAGAAACTATTTACAAGGGTCTGCAGTGACAGGACAAGGGGGAATGGCTTCACACTGACGGCTTGGGGGCACTGGGGACACACAGCCCAGCTGCTCAGCACGTGTGAGCAGGGACAGGACACTGCAGCCCTGAGCAGGGATGGGACTGTCATGAGAGCAGCCTGGGCTGGCTCCTGTCACATCCTGACAGGGATCAGGATGTGTCCCCTCTGTTCCCTCAGTCCATGGACACGGAAGCTGAGCTGCAGTTCCGCCCGCGGACGGGGAAAGCGGCCTCAGCCCCTCTCCTGCCAGAGGTGGAGACCTACCTGCAGCTGCTGCTCGTCATCTACCTGATGAACAGCAAGAGGTACCCTGAGGTGAGACCCCCAAGCTGATCCCACTGTCCTCCTGCTCCTCAGGAGCCTCAGGGACCGCCTGGCTCTGCCCCACACTGTGCCCTCATCCCAGGGGTGTTGGGAGGCCACCTCACAGCCCAGGTGGTCTCTGCCCCTCTCGGGATCAATCCCCCTGCTCTGACCTCCCTTCCCCTCCCGCAGGCTCAGAAAGTGTCCGATGATCTGATGCAGAAGATCAGCTCCCAGAACCGCCGGGCCCTGGACCTGGTGGTGGCCAAGTGCTACTATTACCACTCCCGGATCTACGAGTTCCTGAACAAGCTCGACGTGGTCCGGAGGTGGGATGGGCCCTGTGGGTGAGCTGTCCCCGAGCTCAGTCCCCCCGTTTGCTCCCTGACTCCCTGTGCCACCCCACAGCTTCCTGCACGCGCGGCTCCGCACGGCCACGCTGCGCCACGACGCCGACGGCCAGGCCACGCTGCTCAACCTGCTCCTGAGGAATTACCTCCACTACAACCTCTACGACCAGGCCGAGAAGCTCGTCTCCAAGTCCGTGTTCCCCGAGCAGGCCAACAACAACGAGTGGGCTCGGTACCTGTACTACACAGGTGAGCGTGTCCCACCCGGGGGAGCCGCCCCCGCCTCCCGGCTCCGCTGCCCTGGAAACCCCTTTGAGCAGCTGGAGATGGGGCTTCCAGGCAGGATTTGGAGCCCCGTGCGCGCGGGCCGGGTTGGATTCACTTGGGTGGCTTTCCCCACCCGCCCCGTGTGGGCGCAGGGCGGATCAAGGCCATCCAGCTGGAATACTCGGAGGCGCGGCGGACCATGACCAACGCCCTGCGCAAGGCGCCGCAGCACACGGCCGTGGGCTTCAAACAGACGGTGAGGGGGGACGGCGTGGCACCCCCCGGGGCTGGGGGTGGGGCTGGGACCCCTCAGGTTTGGGATCTCCCAGGGAGTCACGCCCTCCAGGGGTGATGGGTGCAGGATCTCCCAGGTTTGGGACCTCCCAGGAACAGATCCAGGACCTGCTGGGATGTCAGGCCTTATGGAGTCAGGTCTGGGACCGCCCCAGGTTGGGACCTTCCAGGGCCAGATCCAGGACCCCCCAGAGTTGGGCTCTGGAACCTCCTGGGGTTGGGACTTCCCAATGTATCAAGCCCCATGGGGACAGCTTTGGGACCGCCCGGGGTGTTGGGCCCTGCAGGGAAAATTAGTGTGGAACCTCCCAGGTTTGGAACTTCCCAGGGACAGATCTGGGACCTCCTGGGCCCCTCAGGGATGGGAATGGGTTCAGGACTTCCTGGAGTTGGGCCCCACAGGGACAGGGATGGTTTCAGGCCCCGCAGGGGCTCACCCAGGGTCTCGTTCTGCCCCAGGTGCACAAGCTGCTCATCGTGGTGGAGCTGCTGCTCGGGGAAATCCCAGACAGGCTGCAGTTCCGGCAGCCCTCGCTCAAGCGCTCGCTCATGCCCTACTTCCTGCTGACCCAGGGTATGGCCTTCTGTCCCTCCCTGTCCCATAGAACCATGGAATGTCCTGAGTGGGAAGGCACCCAAGGGGAGTTCTCTTCTCTCCCCTTGGTGGGACTCAGATGCAAATGCCACTTGGGAAGGAGGAGGAAGGGAGTCAGCCCTGCCTCGCATTCCTTGTCCTTTCTCCCTCCCCCATTCCCACCTTCTCCCCTCCAGCTGTCAGGACGGGGAACCTGGCCAAGTTCAACCAAGTCCTTGACCAGTTTGGGGACAAGTTCCAGGCAGATGGCACCTACACCCTCATCATCCGGCTGAGGCACAACGTCATCAAGACAGGTAGGGGGGTGTTTGGGGCCCCCCCAGGCGATGCCATGGTCCCAGGGGGCTGCATCCCACTGTCCCCACAGGTGTCCGGATGATCAGCCTCTCCTACTCCCGCATCTCCCTGGCCGACATCGCCCAGAAGCTGCAGCTGGACAGCCCGGAGGACGCCGAGTTCATCGTCGCCAAGGTATCAGCACGGGGGTCCCGGGGTGCCCACAGCCCCCTGCTCTGCCCTGTCCCCCCGTGCACCACATCCCGAGCCCTGGGGGACACGCCGTGCCCTGCCCCTGCCCACAGGCCATCCGGGACGGCGTGATCGAGGCCAGCATCAACCACGAGAAGGGCTACGTCCAGTCCAAGGAGATGATCGACATCTATTCGACCCGGGAGCCCCAGCTGGCCTTCCACCAGCGCATCT